TCTGTTCAGGGCAGTTCATATCTCACTTAGTGCTACTTTTCATGGCCTGTGACATAAAAAAGAAGGTACCTAGGCCCACTCTCCTTTCTTAGGAAGATCCACAACATTGCATAAATCGGCATTTCCTTCTTGCAGCACTGCTCTTAAGCATCCATGGGTGACTTCAATAACATAAATTGGTTCTTGACTCCAACAGAACAGGCAAGGGGAGAATTTAAAAAAGGAGAAAGATGGGCAGAGAAGTATTCATCCCTTTCTGTGCCCTCAAAAATCACACAAGCAACTTAGGCTAGAGAGACTTCAAAAAGTATATGTTAGTATTTTACCATTCTCTTAAATGAGCTGTAACATCCTTATGGATTTTAGCGGGGTCAGGATCTCACTTGCTCTGCTTTTCTTCGTGACAAAGAAAGTCCAATGTTTTGCTAAATTAACTTTTAGTGGGGCTACTTCTTCCTTTTCTGACATTTAGGGCAGCAGAAGACCTGGTGCTTCTAAGAGCCCTTTGATGTGTCTACAGCTTCCAGGTCCACTCTGCCTTTGGGGGTCACACTTGTTCACAGCCCCATTACTGAACATCACCTCACAACACATCTTCCCCACCTTCCCTACTGGTGGAAACACACAGGAATCCTCTAGAAATGCATCTTGCCTTCTCAGCAGCTCTGGAGGCCTGTGATGGGTCAGCTCCACTGATCAGCTAGAGATTTTGTTTAGAAGGCTTCTTTATGCTGTTTATGTTGCTGTCAACACCAAAAACCTAACACTGCCACCTCGTTGTTTACATACCTCTGCTGCAGGATATTATAAGCCTCCTCTACCAAGACTGCCCAATATGTGGGGGTGCAGCTTCTCTTTTTTATTTTTACAAAGTTTACCACATTACTATAAGATATTCATTCAGATTTCACCCAAATAGACGTCTTGCTGTCAGCATTTAATTATGCCTGCATTCCTACATAAACAGAGCTTTTGCCAAAATAGAGCTTATTATAGAAGATAAGGTCAGGCACATCTTTACAAGAAAAGGAAGCTTTGGTAGCTTTGTACTTCTGACAAGAATAAATTTCTAAATGCAAGGGGAAAATGTAGAAAATTGAGCATGTTCTGCTGGTGATAAATCACACTATTGAAAGTAGTACTTTTTATATATCTTTCCTAGGAGGTTTGAGTACATATTTAATATGTGTGTATAAAGTATGTCCTTGTAAGACTACAAAGTCTTTTCAAACTTCCATTGAAAAATACTGTGCACTTAAGATCACTCTTTTTAAAGATTCACAGCTCAGAAAATATTTCAACCAAGGTTTTCTCCCAGGCTGGGTATCAAACTATTTGACAATCTTCTTCTCAGTTTGGCTCATATATGTAAGCGTCTGGAGAAACATTATGTCCGAAGTTTAACCACAGATTTTATATCATAAGATAAGCATACATTTTAAATACTCATTTAAATCTTAAAATACTGAAATCTTATAAATTCAGATATGTCCCTTCCAAATATAAATGTCCATTACCCTTTCAGGTAGGTTTAGAAAAATAACACAATCCTTCAAACAAAAATACCAGACCCTACTGTATTTAGATTGATGGGAACGGCAGCAAGCCTCATGATTTTTTCTCCCCAACATTAGTCTTAACTCAATTGTCAGGTTTGCTGTCACCTCCAATTTAGATTCCTGTGAAAGGTCATGCAGATCTAAGGCATTGGCTCAACTTTTATTGTACTGAGACATTTTGGTTAGCTTCAGATTCCCAGCTAGCATTCTCAATAACCACACTGAGAAGTAGAATTGAAATCACACTGAACAGAGATATTTCCATGATAGGAGCTTTTGAAGTTAAACTTGTGCAAGTTTATGGGTGATAAGAAACTGCATCAGCTACTTCGGCACTTGTTTTGGTCACATTCCATTCAGATGAACAGAAATTAAATATCAGTTAACCTGCTGCTTCCCAAGAAATCTATATAGAACACAATTTGGTGTTCTCAAAATGAGACTTGACATGTTATTTTTTTGTGGCACATCTGTCTTGACAATACAATTTCAATTTATCCAAAGGTTCCTATGTTTCTGATTGTATCAGAAGTAAGAATCAGAATAATTTGAGGTGTGGTAGTTTAAATGAATCACCAAAGTTCTTCTTTCTGAGACACCAGTAGGAAAGTGGAGCAGAATTTGGCTCACCGTATTTTCACTTGTAGACCTCTAGGTACCCTAAAAATGCTTCATGATGAAGATAATAATGAAGCATTGCCAATTAACTTCTTTTGTTGCTGATTGTCACAACAGTACTGTGATGTAATTCACCTGTGCTGTTTGACCTAAAAGGGAATTCAGCAGTTGAAGCTGTGTTCTCACAGATCTGCCCTATTACCTGACATTACCTACTGCTGCATTAGAGAAGTGTAAAATAATTTACATATAAATATAAAATTAATTTTATACAAAGCACTCTAAACAAATGTCTTCCACTATATGCTTTAAAAAAAAAAAAAACAAACATTTTATTTGGCTGGAAATGCTTTGATAAACAACAGGTCTCATTGACTGCAACACTGAAATGCTCTAATGAATTTTTAATGTCTTCAGTTGTTTAACTGGGTCTTATTACAAAGAAGCTGAAGACACAGAAGCATAATGTTTCCTCCACTGGCACATCTAAGAAATCAGTAGAGGCATGCCAAGAAAATGCTCTGCTTTCAAAACAAGACTCCAAAACTGAACTCAGGGGAAAAAATAAAAAGCATTTTGTCATGGTTTCTAGAATTAAACTGCTGCTGTTGATTTGAAATGTATATTTTCATTTCTTCAAAATTGCTACACTTTGTTCTGTCCTTTACCTCACTATTTGCATGATATTGCATCTGTGGCTGGCTGGTAGGTGGCAGAAACTAACTACATTAGAAAAAAAATTAAAAGTCGGGGATCTCTTACTGCACAGACAGTAGAAGGAAAATTCTGCCCTTATAATATACGTGCCGCTTCCCCACGAAATTAAAATGTGATTTCGAAGATGATGATGTGCTTCACTTACAGCTACCATTGCACAGACCGACTGCAGAGATCCCTGCACTCTGCTTAGTAACCCCATACTGATTAAGAAGATTGAACTGAGAAAGTTCACCTTAAAAGACTTTTTCGGGTCCTTCATTTAGTATCAACGTCCCCATGTCTGCTGCAGGTTTTAAATCTCATGTGCAGTCCCGAGCCATAGGAACCCAGCCACATAAAGACAATAAATCATTATAGACTCTTCAAGCATTCTGCTGTTTGTCTGGCGACTGACCCGCTGTGCTTTGAGAAGCCCCCCAGCTTGCCTGGAGGCTTTCTTTGCTGGAAAAACCTATGTATTATCATCACCAGCAAAACAATGGAGTTGGCTGCCCATGCAGTGGTAACCCAGTGCACCGACAGAGAGGAAGAGCCCCACACAGAGCTTGCAGAGCAGCCATCATGAGGAGTGTAACACAGGGAGGCCCACCGAGTGCTAATGCACGTTGGGGTTGCTGTGCCAGTGCTCCACTCAACAGGCCTCATCTCCTGGCAAAGTGACAGGGTAGTATTAGTGCTGGTCAGAAAGCCAAGCTACTTGCTCAGCTTCCTCATGTAAGAAGGAGAGGAGTAATACAGCAGGGATAGGAAGAGCTTCAAAGCCTGAAAGGACATGAGAACTTTTTCCACAATTAAAAAAAACAGTTAAAAAAAATAGAGGTGTTTCTTCCAGCAATGACTTTTGTGAGCACAGTGAAGGTCCCAAAGTTCACTTGCCCATAGATTTCCCTGAATGAGAAATAACATGTAGAAAGTGGGTGTCTTCTTCCCAGAACACACTCCAGAGTGTTTGAGTATGTACCTCATCCTCCCCCACATTTGTTTGTTTTATCCATCTGTTATTGCCCCACATTTGATTATGAATTGAAAGCATTCTCCTGAAGCTGCACTCAGCTTTTTAAACTGAAGTGTTTGAATAAGGCTTGTCACTACAGGAAGGATATAGAGGGCATCACATTCCCCAGCTGCCTCCCATCACCCTTTCCCCCCTCCCTGCACCTCAGGGCCAGCAAGCAATTTGGATGCAAAAGGGGGAAGCTTCAAGCAGCTGCTACCTCTTCCCTGTTTCTCCTGCTGAGCAGCCTCCAGGTAGAAGAGTGGCTCTGTTGCTTGATTTCAAGTTGAGGGAGCCTGAGGGCATACAGAATGGCTCATTGGGCTGTTTAAGCCTACAGTGGTACACTAGTAGAGGATGGATTTCCCCCCATCCTACACAGCCACAAAGGACAAGCAGACAAATATATGAAAGAGGGGTCAGGTGGCTCCTCGATTCCCCCCGCCCCAGCCACAATGCCTGATTAAAGAAATTATCCTAAGTTTTCCCAGATGAATATCCCAAGGAAATGCACCACAGTCCTTAAAAGTATTTCTTCTGGAAGAGTTTGCAGAAGTAGGATGTTTTGGCAGTACTCTAAAGCTGGGAAGTCCCCCCCTTTCAGAGGACTTTCCAAGAAGGGGCATTTGAGGGTGATCTTCACTCCCTCTGCACTGGCTGAACTGACATATGAAATAACCTGTTGAAGTCTTGGGCTATAAAGGAGCTTCCTTGCTCCAGCCAAGTGTCCTGCAGAACAAGCTAAAACTCTTCTGCTTGGCCTAGAGCAGATTTCCCTGCTGCTGCCAGAGTATGACAAAAACTATCAGGCTGCATGGCAGCCAGCAGAGCTGGGAACATCCATATTGCTTGTGCACAACAGTGCATATTCTTCTCAAGGGAGAAGAATATAAATCTTTTAAATGTACAGCCTTTTTCTTAAGAAGTTGTTTGGGTTTTTTCCTGGATTAGTCCAATAAGCCATTTGCATTTGATAATTAACTGTTACGGGGGCTGTTTCAGGTAGCAAATTTTCTGCTTCGTTCTTCACAACATGAGGAAATTTCTTTTAAAAACAAGTTTTCAACTTCAAAGCTTTATAACCTGACACGAAACACAGCACACACAAACCACCCATGCTTCACATTTTAGCCATTTGCAGAGCCCAAAAGCAGTGTGGAGCCGGATGACAGTAAGGGGATTGAAAGAGATTTTCTGTGTGGGCTCCTGCTGCAGCCAGATTAGATGAGGGAATTAGAGACAGGGTGCGGTTCCCACCTCGAATGCCTCTCCTGCAGTTCACAGACCTTCACGCTGCCTTATTAACATGCACTTCCCTCTCTCCTTCCAAATATGCAAACTGCACCCTCTTCCAGGTCCCTCCTTAGCTTAAGGGTGCTGGCATGTTCTCTGCTGACTTTCTGGAACCCAGGGATTTCCAATTATTTCCACATCCTCCTCCTGTTTCTCTTCTGGCTGTGGTGCCTTTGGGCTGCCTGCTTGACTTCCCACTTCACAGATCTGCAAGGCAAGGGCAGAAATGCCAAAAATTAAGAGAGCAGAGTAATAGTTGAACAGGCAGAAGGGAAGAGGAACAAATATAAATTGCCTGGGGCCAAATCTGTTCATTCTCTCTATCTTGCCCCTTTCTAAAAAGGCAGCCTTCTTGTCTCCTCAGGTTCTTATTAAGCTTCCCAGCTATCTTTTATTCAACATCTAGCTCTGTCTCTCAGTTCTTAGGAGGCAATGAGGAGTGTCTTTTTTGCCTTCAGGCACAAAAAGCTGCATCAAGGTGAGGTACAAGCAGCATGCTTTATTAGAGTATGTGGCACCATACTCTGTGCCAGAGTACAGAGTACTCTGTACTCTGTACAGTGCAGCACATCTGAGAAGTTTTGAACATACTATTGCAACGTTTGAAATTCTTGCATTAGGTGACATCTTACCAGACCAAAAGTTGATCCCAATCTGATAAGCAATTGTTGCAGAGCCTGCACCAAAGGCCTCTATCACTCAAGTCTAGCAGTTCCCTCATTGAGATACCAGCTTGGCCCATCAACACAGCCCTAGCTCACTCCCTTGGCTTTCCAATGCTTGTTTAACTGCTTTTCCATTTTGCTGTGTATCAGAGATACTCGTCACACTACACCTTCCAGACTAGAAAGCTGGTGGCTATAAGCAGTATCCTCCAAGCCCTTCCCTGGCCAAGGCTACAAAGGACCTCCACCCTCGTGTTTGCTGCTACAAGCAGCTACCCCCTACTACAAGCAACCCCCTTCACCCTTTTCCCAGGCCAAGCATTGCAGGGAGGGAAGGGGAAGGAAGGAAAAGGAGATAGCAAATGGACTTATTGTTCACAAGAAGAGTGGGGGAAACAGAGGGAAAAGCTGACCTGAGATGCATGGCTCTTTAAGTTTCTCCTCCTGTAAGGACGGTTTCTGCTGTTCTCACACTTCCCTGCTCCAGTCCCCCACACTAATCCAACTCCTACCCCTAAAAGGAGAGGAAGAACTGTGCCTGCCTCTTGCGGAAATTTGAATGCTTGTCTCTAGGAAGTCAGTCAATCAAAGCAGCCCTCCACACTGGCAAAGCTGGGTATCTTGTGAAGGCCTTGGGTCAAGTTATCAACAGCACTGTAGGTCTTTATATGCCTATCTGTTAGATTGCCAGAGTAAGACAGAAACCAAGCATTTATCTGGTTAATTGCTCCTTTCATTTTCTACATTATTCCCATTTCAAAATCTGTATGTATACATTTGTGGGCCCTAACAATAGCATGTTTGTGTGACTCCAGCTGACCAAACAACAGAAGTTATTTATAACTACAGATGACCGGACTCTTCTCTATTTTCATTTATGTAATTTTCCTTAGATCATCCATTGGAAAGGGGTCATACTTTCATGTTTCTCACACACAGAGGCCCTGTAGGTTAGCACACAGGAGATGAACCTTGGCAGCCTGCACTGCTGGACTGCCTGAAGAGGAATTCACGCTGCAGCTGTCTGAACCAAGAACCCTCAGAGGCCGAGGGTTAGATAGATGTTCTCAGTGCCACACCAGGCAGCAGGTGGCTGGAACGGCAGGACTGATGATTCTCAGATATAAAGCTTTGTAAAATTGGTACTTATTCGTGGGTTTTTTTCTTTTGTCAAGGCTCACTGGCACTTCAGACAATGACTGAGAAATTTCAAAATGAGTGAGTGGAATATTGAGAAGTGGCATTAAGTAAACAGCATAAATGACCGTAAGGGGAAGCCTCTTGTTCTTAGACAGTAAACAGAGCCACAGCATGTCCATCCCTGCTAACAGAGCATAATTTCCCATCCACATAAATGTACTGAATTCAAAAACATTTTTAATATTTTTAGATGCTTCTCTCTATATAAGCTTGAATGGGAAAAGGATGGATTTACTTGATGACAGTTGGGACATCAAAGACAACCTCTCTGAGGCTCTTCTACCTACAAACTTCTCACATTATATGGAAGGCTTACAGTAGGTAAAGCATTTTCTGTAGTCCCTTCACCATCCAATAATACTATCCAGGGCAAATTAATTCAAACAAACATACTATAACCAAAAAAGACAATTTGCAAAATCCCTTGTTTCTATCTAGTAAGAAGAGCCATTCTCCACAAGACTTGTACAAGAGGACTGAAATTCAGAAGAGACAAGAGACACAAAGGGAAATGCTATGTCCAGGGTCTCCTTTTAGGGTTGCACATCAAGATTCAGAGCAGCCAGATGGAGACAGCAGCATATTTTACAGTATACGCTGCATGAAATAGGCCTCACAGCTAATCCTAGCAGACACATACTCAGCCAGAGCATATCTACAAAATAAAGCCACAAGATCTTTTACTTAAAACATAGAGTTTTAAAGAATTTGGTGATTAAAAATACACAATAAAACTCATAGATGGCAGTAAACAGGGCAGAAATGAAGTAATTGAGGTTTCATTCCTTTTTGTTAAAGCACCGTAGACCTTCTTATTTGGTCCAGCCCAAATACCAGAGAAAAATATATTGAAAAATTTGAAGAAAAAACAAGGATCTCTTTGGGGTCCTTAAATATTAATCTGCACTGATGAGGCCATGTCCATGCAACTGAATAGCAGTGCTGTTCTCTAGTACAAAAGCTTTTCCTACTTACAGGGAGTTATCGTTTCCATTTGATTTTCTCTTTTATTTTGGGAAATTTAGGCATTTTCTGAAGAGTTCAGAAAAGGGAAGCCGGATGGTATTGGGAATTCTGATATCACAGCCATGGAATGCCACACACTTATTAGCCAAGTGTTTCCATCCCTCTGTATACATGACTCTTTCCTCAAGCCAATACTTTTCATAACCTTTTGCCCTTTCCATGACATCACAGCTATTTAGTAATATTTACTTTTTTTCCCATCTTGTAAAATGTATAATGCCACTGCCTTGCTAGTTCGTGACTGATCCCCACGTAGATCAACTCAAACTCAACAAGTAGTTCACAGAGTTTGTGTTCCCTGAATTACTTTCTTCCAAGTATGTTATAGTCAATACCCCCTAAAAGACATCCAAATGATGAATAAGGAAGAGGAGGTACCACAGCTTTTTTAAGCTCCTGTCTGGTGCCTTTAGTCTTAGGCACCAGTCTCACAACTGAATTTACTGGAAGAGCTTTTATCTTTTGGAAACCAATGCCTTCTGGGCTAACAACTGAGAATACATACTTGGCACCATATCCAACACAAGGTTGTAATTAGCCGCCACTATAGCACTTCTGTTCAGCAAATAACAATCAAAGTTTATTACTAAGGGCCTATTCCCAATATTGCTGTCTACTAAAACTAGACATTATTGTAACTGCTATATGGTCCAGGCTAGATAAAGTTCTCTTCCTCATGTCCACTTGCAAGAACCATGATCGCTAGCTAAAGTGCCAATTTGTCAACACATTAAAGACTTTCTTTAGAGAAGAGCAGCAAAGAAACAACTGCAGTATTTAAAACAGAAAGAAGACTGAAGGTGCGTTTATCCTAATCCCCAGTATAGAATGTATTGTGAATGATTTTTTCCAACATATCTATTAAAATGGATGACTGTCCAGAAGAATTTAATCAATAGTCAACTTAGGAGGCTACACTTTCAATATGAGAAAACTGTGATGTCCACTGCCTGTTGAGAAATTATCTTCTAGAGAATAGTGAAAATTTAAGAATATAGCTGTATTTCTTCAGATCCTGAAAAGTTTGTACTGAAAGAAAAGCTGATTTGAAATATGTACACCTAATTTTTACCAAGTCCAGAACTGTGTCTGTAATAATATGTGTTTTATAATGTTTATTTTGCCAGGAAATTCCAGGAATATAGATCTTCCATACTGAAAATCAAAACAGAAGTGTCACAAACCTTCCTAGCTTCCACGTGGTGCCACATGGGTACCTTAGAAGCTTTGTGCTTTGCATCCTGTCTCCTTAGCATGAGGTCATCTGCAATCTCTGCCTCTGAAAAAGGTCCTTTGTGGCTCCTACTGCCTCTAGCAAATTCATATAAAGGATCTGAAATAGTGTGTGAATAGAGTATACCAGCGTAGAACTCCTATTGTCTCTGTAGTGCATTGAATTTTCAAAAGTGAAAACTTTCTTAGAAATCTTACAGACTAGAATAATGTATAGAATGAAGTGTAATACTGGCCCTTAGTTCTCCATTTAACCTTGCACAGAAAAAGCAAAAAAACAGCTTGAGAAAGCTTGCTTACAGAAAGAAATGCATTTCTAAAATGTTTTAAACTGTCTGGACTTCATGGAATTTCTAGACTCCTTGGTAACCTTCTGTTAGTGACGAGAGTCTTCTTTATCAATTAGACATCAGTCCTATCATGGCAGAGCGATCATTGGATAGTGACTGATTATGTAGTAAGATCAATGTAAATGCAATAATTGTCATTAAAAAAAAATAGTAAATCCAGAAATGCTATTTCAAGAAGACTTGTGTACATGTGGAAACACTACAGAGAACATCACCAGTAGCCAGGCACCAGGAGGGGAACAGATGAATTACACAAAATTTAACACACATACTTCTCCACCTGCATGGGATCTCAGATATTAAAAACGTAATTTTCAATCAGGGTACTGGTGCTGCTGTTGGGATTTGAGGTTAGCAGTTCAGCTTTTAAAATTCAGCCCATCTTTCACAGATTTCTTTCCTGGGAAGTGGGAAGTGAAAAACAGACCTGTGGGGAGGAAGCTGTACAGAGGCAGGACCTGCATTCTCCCCCAGGATGCTCACACTTTATGACACACTCACTGTCCATGGCATTGCTGCTGGAGACATTCTTGAGAAACTTGAAAGAATGCAGCAAGTGTCTGGTAAAATATGCAGGGATCTCTGCAAGATTCAGGCCAAGCACTGTATGTTTTCTTCCTGCAACATTGCTGCCATTTTGTTAGTTTGCTTGATAAAAACTGCAGTCATTCTTTTCTGGATGGTTAAAGACACATAGAATCATAAAATGATAGAACAACCTTTAAGATCATTGAGTCCAACCATTAACCCAGCACTGCCAAGTCTACCACTAAACCAACAAAGACAGTTTGGGCCGCCCATCGCATGTGGGAAGGCTTGGGTAGGAAATCTGTCATACAGGCTTCTGTAGCACCTCTGCCTCAGCTCCAGATGTTGGAGGGGAAGCCATACAAGACAGAATTACCGACCTCAGAAGTATGCTTGGTCTTGTCTATCCCTCATCTGCCACCAGTACTAACACTGATCTGTCCAGTGTGGAAGTACAAGTTCAAAAGCCTTTCCACTCTCTCTGCTGACTTCTATGCAGCTGCTAAGCTTATGCATGATATGTTTATGTTAAGGGTTTGGTGTAAACGGAGCTTATTTTGCATAGCTGTCTGAAAATGTCCCATCCCCTCCTTCTCAAAAATGGGCAAAAGACCAAATATTTTTTTAAAGCTTTTCAAATCCCATAGTCTACAGAAAACATTAAATCTTCTGAAACAAAAATGAGTATTTGCAGAGAAAGTGGACATTTTTTCTGGGAGAATGTTAAATTGTTAAAAATGCTGAGCTTAAAAGTTTTCAGATAATCCTTATTATCAAGCTACACTAAAAAGTAGGACAATTCTGCACAAATTCTGTACCTTCCAAATGGTTATATATTCCTTTAAACATTTGCCTCACACAGGCAGTATAGTGTAAATTCTTAGTAAAAATGAGGACTAGTAACAGCATTGCACATAGTGATGGGTTTGTAATGTACCTCATATTTATTTTGGTCTCAGACCCATCATGAGAAGAGAAAGAGCTTGTAATTTCTTGATGAAGTAATTTAGTGAATGGGGGGCAAAGAAAGTAATTTAATTACTGGCTTGAATAATTTATGTAACAGCCATGCAGTTCTTTTATCTTCTGTTAGACAATGTGTTCATTTTTTTATGTCTCATGCTTTAACACAGTGTGTCACAGTGCTAAATTCAAGATGTGCAGAAAGCCCAGGGTCTCTGTGACAGATAATCAAATGGCAAATTAATTAATTCCTCTTTGCTGCTTAGAATTGGGACTGGTAGGCATAGCTTTTTCCAAGGTTTTTTTCACCTTGAAATTCATAAATGTACTTAAGATATTTTCTGGTAGGCAGTACAGTGTTGCAGCAACCCTTGCACTGGACAGTACTGAGGTACTCCAGAGACAAGGTGGGGAATGGTGTGAGCTGGGCTCAGCACAACGTTCATGTTGGGCCATTGAAAAGTCTGGTGAAGAGGTCCACATACACAACTCCATGAGACCATGCAAAAGGATGCTAGATCGCCTTAAGAAAATGCCACAGGATAATCTAAGGCCATAGGTGACTGGAACCTCAATTAGAATCTACCCATTGATATCATCGGGAATGTTTATCTCCAGCATCAGTGAATCTGACTTTCTTTAGCTCCAAGGCCTGGAGACCCCTCTGCAGAAGCAATGAATATCATTTAGATATTTCTGGCCCATTATTACTCTTATTCTGAAGCACAGATTGTATACAGGAGCTCTTGTTTTTCAGGTGTTGAAAATCACAGAAGTTGAAAATCAAGGCTGAGAAATAATCTAGTGTTATCAGCTCTGTTCAAACACCATATTTATCTTCTAGGCAGGAAAAAATGAAGCATGAGACATTAGTGAACTAAGCCCCATTACCTCTCAGAAAAGATTACATGGGAATGCAAATGTCCTGGTATAATTCACAGATTCCTGAGTTCACAGGAACAGCAGTAAAAAAAGCAAAATTGCTCCATATCCTGTAGAGAGGAAATTAAAGGTATCAGGAAGAGAAGAATGTGCTGTGTGGTGCGAAAATGCTGTTTTGATTCCTGATGCTAAACATCTGCCATATTTTTTTGTGGAATCACTTGACTTAGTGAGAGAATAGCATCTTCAGGATTGTGCAAAGTCTATTCCAGACTCAAGCTGTCTGAATTGGCAGCTGTGGGAACACCCACAGGAAGCATGGGACCCTGGAAGAAAAAGTGTAGGAGTACATCCTGTGGGGATAGATAAAAGTCAGAGCTGGGCTATGGGAACCTCTTCAGAACAAACATGCAAATACAGTTTCGCAAGTCAAAGTCCCAACTGTTTGTTTAGGGATTTTTTGGTTATTTGTTGCTTTTATTTGACTTTCACAGAACAGAAACAGAAAAAGGAACTCGGGGGGGAAAAAAAAAAGATGAATGAAGTCAAAACTCTAGATGTTTTCTTTATTGCTTGGTGTGAGTTCATGTGCTTCGTGTGCAGTGCCACAGCTTGCTTCTTTTGCCTTGTGATGAAGATTGCCATGACATACCTATTTCTAGTCCACCAGGTTTGATAGTCTGTCTCCACACACAGAGTAGTGCTAGAGCAGAGCTGCTTATAATTTCTCACTGTCACTGTTTCATGGACAAATGCCTCCTCTCATCCATGTGAAATCCTACAGTTCCTGAGGAAGAGTAAGAAAGGGAAAGAATTTTATCTGTTTCTTAATTAGTAAGTGCTCCCAGTCACCAGAATCAAATAGCAATCAATGTCATGCAAACAGACAGCTTCCCATGAATACCAACAGGTGACCGAGAGACTCCTTGCCATAAGAACACACACTCCCTTGTCCTTCCAGCATTGCGGTGATATGCTTATCTTTCTTCTTACCTTTATATGCCCTGATGAGTAAAGATAGATGGATTTGGTTTTATCTTACCTAAAAGGACATTTTCATTTACTGTTTGTACACAATATTTTTCTCAGTGTTTCAGCTAACTTTCTGCTGTTTGTACAAATTATATCCTGCAAAATCGATGCCCACACATTGATTGCACATTGTGTCAATTAATATTTCTTTTTGTTTCTGAACGTTCCTAATTCTTATATCACTGGGAAGGTTGAGAAGGAGGTTTAAATTGTCTTTCAGCATGCTATCTATTTTTCTTGTTCTTTTTACTTTCTTGCATAAATAATCTTAATCTTTTCAATAGCCTCATACAAGGAGTATGTTCTGTGTAGTTCTCTGCTATTCTCACTCCCTGCCTGGAGATTGTTTCTAGTTCTGTGTCTTTTTTTGACATGAGGTTACTAAAACCAAATGAAATAATCAAAGTGAGGACATGGCATCTCAGATGCAATATGTAATAGTCTCCATGTGATTGTCTACCCACTTCTAATGTGCATGCTAATAAGTAATTTTTTTCTATCACATGCCCAGAACAGACAATTCACTGTGATGTCCATGATGACTCCTGGGCCTTCTGGTTTCCCAGCAGGTTACTACTACATTCAGAACCCGTTCATATGAAAAAATAATTTAAAGTGTATTTTCATGTCCTTCTGTTGTTAGTTTCTTTAAAAAAAAAAAAACTGACAGAAAGAAACAAATAAACCACCAGCTCAGTAGAAGTTTAAAGAAGTAAACATTTTACAAGTTATCATGCAGTGTGGAGAATTGGTGACCATCTCTCAATGTCCCTTTTGATTCCCCAAATGCTGATGGGAAATATTCTGGAGGCACAAATAGACTGCAGATGTTGGAGAATACATCTTAGAATTCTGCTGAACATATTACCCTACTGGGAGGCTGTTTTGAGTCTCCAGGGACATTCCTCTGAAAGCCCAGCTGATTGTCTCATATTGAAACAACATGTCCAAGATACATTCCAAGTAAAAGAAAATAGAACAGGGGTACTCTGACCAAATATAAATCAAGGGGCTAAAGGGCAGTTTATCTTCCGTCCTTCTAGCATTTCTTTTCTCCCCCTATGAATACTCCCCCCAGGGAAACAGACCACTGGGTAAATGACTGCCAAACATGATGACTCAGACATTAGGCACTGTCCCCAAGTGCTTCACAGATGGTGTCTGGATGGGAAACCCAGAGCTTTCAGCACCATAAGCCTTGCTACATTTTTTTTTCCTCCTTTTTTTAAGTTCACTGCAGCATTACTTCTGATCTCATGTCAAGCCCTTATAGCACTGTTGCCCCCCACAATGAATTCTGATCCTGACCTTATAACAACCAATGTCATTCGCACATAAAAAAGATAGGAGACAAATCCTAGCAGACCTTGGGGAGTGGGAAAAACAAAGCTAAAATAAACACATTACTTAAAAGATTATCTTGTATCCAATTGAAAAAAAAACCAGCAAAGAGTCTGCTGCAAAAGACAGGCATATTGTGAAGTACAGTGCATTAGCACAATTGCATAATCATAGGTACTATGAAAGAAAATGTTCTCTGCACAGCTTTCTTTTTGTGGAATCCTGTTTGTTTCAGTAAAATCCTGTTCCTTTCAGCTTGCTTTATGTTCCCCAAAGCTAGCACATCTTGGGATGCACATCTGGATATGGGCAAGCCTGAAAGCAATGGCATATTTCTGTGCTTCTACAGTACTGTATGTTCACACTAGACATTGGAAAAGTCCCCTGTGGAAAGGAAAAAGAAAAACAAAAACAAAAGAACAACACACCAACTATTTTTCCTCCCATGAAGAGAAGCTCAAGAAATGCTCTGTAAAGGCTTGTAGGTTATGCACAATGAATCCAACTATCACAACCCCAAACAAAGCATATCACGAGATATGTGAAATAGCTTTTCCTCTCTCTCTCCCTCTCTCTCACACACACGTGCACACACTCACACACACACAAACCCAGCTGCAAAGGATAAAAGAGGAGGCATTGCACATTGAGAAGAACCAGGTCCAGCAAGTATTTTTTTTTCTTCCTCTTCTTCCTCTCCTTTTTTTTTAAGGTTTACCACCAGTATCATCCATAAGAAACAAAAGAAGAATTTTTCACTCCAATTGGAGAGGATAAATAACTAGGTATTTTTGTGGATTTCATTATGTTTCAAAGGCTATGTAGCAATTCACTGAACTTCCCTGATTTACAAAAATTCAGCTGAGTAGTAATTCCATTTAAATCAATGGAGTTATTTGAGCATGTGTAGAAAAGAAATGAAACTCAGACATTTTGTTTCGAAATTCAAATTAAAAGGTCCCAGAATTGAAAGCAGCAACTCTTAGGTCAGTCAATTTCTCTGTTTTTTTAGAAGGAGCCTCTGATAAAAGTTGATAGCACTATGCAGAGCCAATGCCCTGAGCCTGGGGTTTTACAAAGAGCATGAACAGGGCCACAGACACTGATCACCACGGGACTCCTCGCTTGGAGACAGTCACTTCAGAGTCATTACACCAGAAAAGAGACACTTCTTAACAGGCAGCCATTGGTGAACAGCTAAGGAACTGACAGTGTAAATCAGCATAAAACTAGCCAGGTTTCCAAAATGTGCCTGGCAGGCAGTTTTCAAGCCCTGCCTGGTTTTGGAAGCAACTTTGTCAAAATTGGACCCTCTCCACAAAGTGCTTTGATGTTGATGAATCGGTAAATTCCAACAAAAACTTGTTTAGTCAGAATTTTTCTGACCAGCTCTACTTCCTCCTTCTGCCAAACCTATTTACTAATTCTGTGTGGCTTCGGGTGAATGTTTTCTGCCAGGGTCATCACAACTGCAGAGCCCTGTGTTCAGGCACAGCTGAACACAGGCACTTGCCCACCAGGGTCCTCCCCTTCCATGTCCCTGTGGGAGAGAAGCACCATGCAGCAGCACAGTTCCCAGCCTCCCTCTCCACGCATAGCACAGCTTCATCCAGACCTGTGTAGCTCAAGAGGCTTTGTCATGAGGACTAAAGTACCATCACCCCCATTTTACCCCATCATCACACCAGAGGAAGTGAAGCACAGAGAAATAATCAGTTTGGGAGTGTCACAGCAGTTTTAGAAGTATGGCCTGGCCAATAAGATGCCTGGCTTCATATTGAGCCCAGCAGTAGGTAACATATATTTGCATGTTTACAGCCACAGCAACTGTTGTGAACTCGAGTACAGGAGGGGTGTGGATGAACCTGTGCGTAAAATGAGGAGGGAGGCTGGGAGAGAATAGGCCAAGATTATATTAAAGCATTTCTGTCCCAGGCTTGCAAAAACAATGCATTGCACTGAGACGAGGTGTTATTGTCTGCTTTTAAACGTACCCTCCCTTTCAAGATTTTCTTTCTTAATAAAGTATCTGAGGTCATGCTATTGTCATTAGAGCCTGACGAGTGCTTAGCAGCTGTCACCGTGGCAGCAGGAGCGTGCCTGATGCCAGTCCCCTTTGTCACGGCAGCCACAGCAATGTAAGGAGAAGGGCCTTGCAGGATGCAGGACAATACTGGGAAGGAAAAGGAGGGAATCCTCGACCTTGGGCCAGGGCCTGGTGGCAGACTATTGAACCCTGTGCATCTCAGCAAACCATAAGAAGTAAAAATTCTTGGAAGCTGCAAAGGTTGCAAGTGAAAACAAAAGATTCTATCATGTAGGAAATAGAACAAAATACAGAGAAATTTGTTTTATTTTCAGAGATAAAATAAGCAAATAGGTCTCTGCAACAGTCAGGAGCACTGCACCCCGCATGCAGCACTCACGGAAGTGAGGAGGCCAGAAAGACTGGAAGGAATCTGGAAGCAGGTAGGAAAGGGTTCTCTCTGGAGCTTTCCAAATCTTGTGCTGTGAGCAAGGGACCCCCTCATGAAAAAAAAAGATGATGATGCTCTCCACTAGAATTTAAAACATTAAATCGTCTACCCAAACAAAACTCTGATTATGTAAAACAATCAAATAATTGTCTTTTGAGCCCATAGCTGAAGCAATCGGTAGAAGCAAATAAACCACCGCTACTGAGTTTTGCCAG